TAGGCTGCTAGCAGCCTTTAGAGGATCTTTTTATTTTACTATGTTAAGTGCCTCTTTACTAAGGAAGGCTTTTATATAAAAGAGAAGGCGCTAAAATGCCTTTACCTAGGCTATAGTTACTAAAAAGGGTCTCTTTCTTATAGTTCTATATAGGTTTTAGTAGGCTATAGTACTTAGTCTTTACTAGTAAAGGCCTAAGGGGCCTAAATAGGCTGCTTAGTAAGCTAAGTATACCTAGGTTTAAAACTATAAAGCCTAACACCTTTTACTTTATAAAGGTACCTATTAGCCTTAGGCTTTTAGTAAAGCTAATAGTAGTAAAAGGAATGTAGTAAAGGCTATCCTGCTATAGTAATAAACAGAAGGCTACTAGTACTAGGCCTATGCTATAGAAACAGTCTCCCTCTTAGTATAAGGAAAGGTATAAGGATAAAGAATACTTAAGGGTAAGAAGTAAGCTTAGGGTGGCCTGCTTAAGGCTAGAGACGTAGTCTGTTATATATCTTAGGCTTAACTACTAACTACAGAAGTACTTACTAAGGGTGTTTTTAATTATAGACAGAAGACCTAATAATACTAAAGGTAGTTACTTTAGCTAGTATATAAAAAGCTAATAATAAGTAATACTTAAAGGTAAGAAGTAGGCCTAAGGCGGCCTACTTAAGGCTAAAGATGTAGTCTATTATATATCTTAGGCTTAACTACTAACAGCAGAAGTACTTACTAAGGGTGTTTTAGTTTATAAACAGAAGGCCTAATAATGCTAGAGATAGTTACCTTAGCTAGCGTATAGAAAGTTAAAGATAAAAGATAAAAACCTAGCTTATAAACTAATTTCTTTATCCTTAGGAGGAGGTTAGTACTAGCAGCTTTAGCTTCTGTAGCTACCTTTATTAATAAACAGAAATATAAAATCTAGGTTAACTAATATCTTTTTTAGTATAGTATATATACCTCTACTTAATGTAAGATAAAAAGGTAAGAACTACATACTACCTTATAGCTAGCTAAGGCTATAATACTACTAACCTTATTAGGCCTAGAAGCCTAGGCCTAACATAAACTTAGTAATAGGTGTATACTAAGGCTGTAGTAGCTTTTAGTAATACTTTAGCCTATAGAAGCTACTGTTTTACTAATAAGTAGAAAGAGACTTAGTAAAAAGGAGGCTAATCTATATTTCTTAGCGTAAGAACTAGCTTACTAAAGCTTATTAAACTTACTATATTACTTTTTACTTATACTAATTATGTATTCTAGCGGCCTACTTATAGTAAGGCTTTCTGTTACTTCTAGAGGCATATGCTATCTATATATAAGGTCTTAGCCTTATGTAGCTAGCTAGGGCTAAGGGGTATAGGTAACGTAAGACTATAAGTTAATTTTTTTATTTTCTTATATAAATCTTTTTTTTAGAAAATAGAAATCTAGGTAAAAACCTAGTAAAGTAAGGTAAAAGGTAAAGAAGTACTAGTAGGTATATAAGAAAAGGTTAGTTCTTCTTACGTAAGGCTAGGTTAGTAGTCTAGTATAGCACTCTAGAGAGGACCTTAGGCGTCTAGCTTTACACTAGTAAAGTCTTATAAAGAGTTAGCCTTAGATAACTTCCTAAGTTCCTTAGAATAAGATACTATAAAGAGTAAAAGCTTTATATAGTTAAGGTCTAGGTCTATCTTATTAGGTTAAAGGTTATAGGTAAGGCTATAGCGTTAGTATTTTCTAAGTTCTCTAGAATAAGATACCTTAAAAAGGTAAAAGCTTTTATAGTTAAGTACTAGCTGCCCTCTTTAGAGGGTTATAGGTAGATAGGGTGTAGTATAATGTAGGCACACAGGGGTAATTTATATAGTACCTAGGTGTCCCTAAGGGTAATAGATATAGGCTTTAGCCTTATTCCTTTATCTAGGCTAGGTAGGGTAAGGTTACTATAGAGAATTATTTATTAGTCCTTATGTGCCTTTTACTATATACTAACGCATAGGCTGTAGGTTAGTAGTAAAGCTATATATAGCGGTTATCTTATCTAGTGCTAAGCTTAATTAGACTATAGGTGTTAGAAGGGGCATAAGGCTAGTTAGGCTTATAATAGCGCTCTACCTATCTTAGGCCTTACTTAGTTTTAAGGCTTTAGGGTAGAAAGGCTTTTAGGCCTTACCTATCTACTAGGCCTCTAGAGATCTATCTAGTAATAGTTCTAACTTATTCTTAGGAGTTATAGCTATAGCCTATAGTAAGGGTCTAGTATAAAGGATGTTACCTAACTAGCTTAAGAGAGGTAGCTATAGTTATGCCTCTTAAGGTAGAAAGAGTAATAGGTTCTTAGGTAATAGTTAGCTAACTTAGTAACCTATAGGTAAAAAGGCTGTAGTCTTTATTTTAGTATAAAGGCCTTTAGCTATAGTATCTAGGGTATCTAGGGTATCTATAGTGTCTATAGTATCTAAGGTATCTAAGGGACTTAGTAGGTACTATAAGTAATAAGGGCAGCTTATGCTTTATCTAGCTTTTAGTAAGTATATATCTTACTTTTTTACCTTTCTCTTTAGTTTACTTCTCCTTCTAGCGTTATCTTTCCTTTTATAGTAGGTTTACTATCTTTCTACCTCTTTTAGACTTATTAGTATAAATAGGGAGTAGTCCCTTATGTACTACTTAGCTAGCTAGATAGGTATAAGGTTTATTAAAGTAAGAAAGAGGGCCTTTATTAGCAGCTTTAGTTAGCGCTTTAGCCTACTTAGTTTTATTTATTCTTAGGCTAGCTTGTTTTTCTGTTTAGCTTTTAGTTATTTTAGTAGTACCTTAGGTAGCATAAGGCCTCTCTTACTTATTTCTGTTATATAGTAGCTATTAGTAATAATAAGGATGCTGCATACTATAAAGATCTAGGCTGTTATACTACTTATAGACTGGCTACTACTAATTATAACACCTTTACTTTACTAAGCTACTGCATACTATATAGCTTTATTAGCTTACTTTACCTACTAGATTAGTAGCTATTAGTAATATGTAAGGCCTTAGTAGCCTTTATTTTACTATATATTACTTATTTTATAAGGCGTTATTTTAGCTATTTTATCTTTTATAGTATAAGGTAATAGAAAGGCTCTTAAACCTTAGTCCTCTTAAAAAAGAGACTAATACTAAGTAGTACTATATATATATAGCTTTTAGTTTATATACTTACTTACTTACTTACTTACTTATTTATTTATTTATTTATTTACTTACTTACTTATTTAGAAGACATTATAGCTAATAATACTCTTTATTTATAGTAAATAAGCTAACTTAATAAGATAACCTAGAGAATAATAATATAGAGAATACTATAACTACTATATGCTTTACTTTTTACTTTAGGCTATATAAGATTAAGTACTTCTGCCCTTTTTACTTTTCTTTCTTACTAAAAAGGGTAGGTAATAAAGAATAGTAACATAATGTAAGTACGCCTTACTAAAGGCTTCTCTTTTTCTTTACTATACTCTTACTAACTACTTTTTTTTCTCTCTTTCTCTCTCTAAGGCTAACTATATACCTAAGCGCTACGTCTACCTAATGCTAAATACTAGCTTAGTAAACTTTAAGGTGTTACTAGCCTTACTAAATAATAACTATAAAGATAAGCTACCTTCTAGCTATATACTATACTACTACCCTTAGGTAGTAAGCTAGAAAAATAACGTTAAAAGGGTTATCTTATTAAACGCCCTAAAGATAGCCTTAGGTAAGGACTATAACTAAGGCCTACGTAACTATAATATCTTTAGTACCTTTTTTATAGTAAATAGTAAGAGCTATAGTATTAAGGCTAGCTTCTTTAAGACTTATACTAGTAGTTATATTAATAGTAGTATTTCTACTTACTATAGTATAGGCTAGAAGAGGTAGGCAGTAGCTATAGTACTAGCTAGTAGCACTAGGCTAAAGGGCACCTCTCTCTTTAGCACCTTAAACAGTAGTAAGAGTACTATACCTATCCTAAAGTAGCGCCTTAGTAAAAACCTAGTAGTCTATAACCTTTTACTAACGCTAGGTATTACTAGCCATACTAAGGTAAGAGATGCCTTATAAGGCTACTAGAAGGCCTTATTTAAGCTTCTATAGATATACAGCCTAGTAGCTAGCGTTTAGTACTATGTTAAGGCAGGCTATAGTAATAGGCTGTAATAAAGGGATAACGGCTTTATAACTTATACTAAGTAAAGGGCCTAGCAGAAGCTAAAGGCCTAGCAGAAGAAGTAAAAGAAGTTTAGTAAGGGCAGAGGTAGTAGTAATAGTAGCCAGGCTGCTACTAAAAGGTATTATAAGTACTAGCATATTATAGATAACTACTAGCTAGAAAAGTAGCTTTAGGTATAGTAAGAAGGTAAAGACTTTTATACTTATACTAGCCTCTAGGTTTACCTAAAGAGCTTATAAGAGGCTAGGTAGGCAGAGGTAGGCAGGTAGGTAGGTAGGTAGAAGGTGTATATATATATATATATATATACCTAGGTAAATAAAGTAAGAAGAGAGTAGCTACCTTTTTTACTTCTTATTTTTTTACTTTTAATACTTACTTCTTTCTTTTATATAGTTACTAAATAATGCCTCTTTTACTAACCTTAATAGACCTCTTATTTTATAGACCTAAGGTTACGTTAGAGGTAACTAGGTCTAGCTAGTATTATAGATAAAGTAATTATAACCTAGCGTCTTAGGCCTATGTAAGCTTCTTAGCCCTGTTATTTCTTAGACCTGTTATCTTAGACCTGTTATTATAGACCTGTTAGCTAGATCTTACGCTTAGCACCTGTTACCTAAAGGACCTATTAGTCGCCCTAGGCGCACAGGCTACTAGCGACCTGTTAGCTAGGTACACAGGCTACTAGTAACCTGTTAGCTAGGTGCATAGGCCTCTAGCGACCTGTTGCCGCCTGGCCTGCCCCCCTGGCTAATTAGCGCTGCTGGCAACGCGTTGCTACTACTAACCCGTTGTGCACGCATTAGGCTAAGGGTCTTTAATTTAGTAGTTTAAAATACCCCTCTTTCTAAAGAGATTAAGAGAGACCTAGGTTTAAGTCCTAGAAGACCTATCCTTTTATATACCTATCTTATTCTGCTTTTTACCCTAATTCTAGATATCCTGTCTGTTTTTTTATATAACGCCTCTACGCTAAGTTATATACCTTTAAAGTCCTTAGTAAGTAGAAACTATATAGACCTCCCTTATCTTCTTTATCTTAGATAGCTAGCTTCTATAGACTATTGTAACCTTAACCTTAAGATTACGCTAGACCTACATATACTCTCTCTATTTATATATAGCCACTCTAACACTCTTGTTTACTAGCCCTAGCGTATTTTAATAGTTTTAGTATAAAGACCTAACCTATTATAGTACCTATTCTAGTCTTTAATAGCATCTTATAAAGAAAGATATTAAACTTTATAAGTACTACTATAATAACACGTATATAAATAAAGACATGTTAAATTAATATATATTTTTCTTATGTACCTATTATATATCCTTTTGTTTTCTAAATAATAGTATAGATCCTTATACTATAGCTAAGAAACATAGGTAGTCTCTAGCTTTCTACTATACTAGTAGTAGATAATATATATAGAACCTTATACTTCTTATTAGCTATACTTACCTTATTTACTAAAACATCTACTCTTTCTCCTAGATAACCTTATCCTAGACTAAAGCTGTTACCTAGTAGAGATAGCTAGCTTCTATACTGCCTTACTAGATCCTACTGCCTAGCCAGTAGTATAGTGCCCCCTCTGCCTTAGCCTTATCCTCCTTAAGCATAAAGCCTTCCTTATCTATAGCCTTCTTAATAATCCTCTGCCTTATTACCTTAGGTAGCTAGAACATACTGCCTATAAACATTACTATAAGCGCCTAGCTAAACTAGTAAGCACCTAACCTAAGTAAAAAGTAGCCTCTATTACTAGCCTTAGCCTTCTATTGCTAGTATACACCCTAGGGTAGCCTGTAGTAAAAGTAGCTAGAGAACAGCTTAAAGTACTACTTAGTAAACATCTCTATCTTTATTATATAGATACCTTACTACACCTGCCTTTATTACTCTAACGCCTTCTGTAAGCATACTAAGAATGCATAAGAGGCACCGTTATTACTCTTAGCCTTATAGCATAGAACGTATGTATCTTATACTTAGTAAAGCTGTTAAAAAAACTAGTTAACCTCTCTGCCTTTCTATATTTACTCTCTCTTAAGCTACTAGTAGTTAAACTATCTTTACTGCTTAGCTTTATTACCCTTCTTTACCCTACCTTTAGAAGAAGATGCTGCTACCTTACTGCTAGCTATAGCTACCTGCTGCTACCTTAGACATATGTTGCATGCCTTCTTGTTATCTTTATAATAGAACTAGTCCTACCTACTATCTATAACCTAGTTAAGCACAACCTGCTAACACCCTCTGCCTTCTACATACTTCTCTATTACTACTTTACCCTAGTGGCCTCTACCTCTAGCCTACCGTACTATTATAAACGCACTTAGCTAACTATTCTACCTTACCCTACCGCTCTTCTATATAAAGTGCTACAGTATACGCAGTATCCCTATATAAACTATAACCTAGACGTTAGGTAAATTAATCTCTAGCCTAAGTGCGTTACTTACCATAATAACGCCCTTAGACCTACTACTCTGCTGCTACATCCTAAGCTAGATTGCTTTACCTTTTACTAAGTTAACGCTACTAAAAAACGTTAGGTACCTAAGCTTCTTACTTAGCTGCTTAACCTACTTAATTAAATCACTATAGACAATAGCCTTCTCTATTACCTGTTCTTACAGCAGCTGCTTAAGCTATGTAATAATAACCTTATAGACCTTAGCCTTAACTACGTCCTTCTTACCTTTATAGCTACTAATAACGTTAATAACAAAGTACTAGACGTTCTTCTGCGTTATCTAGAACTAGAACATAAGCACCTACTGTAGGTTAAACCTTATGCTGTAAAAGAACGCAGCCTTATTACCTAGTGCTAGCGTTACTATTAAGTATACTGTCTACACCCTAAACTTACGCACAGCCGCTCTAATCTCCTAAAGCTTTAGCTAGAACGTTACACTCCCTTTAAGCACTATATAACACTTATTAATAACAATCTAGTTAAGTGCCTACCTTACCTATAGCTATAAGATAAAGTTATAGAACCCCTTACTAATAACAGACTTAGGCGTAATAAAGATAATAGCAGCAGCCTGCAGCACCTTCTAGCTTAACTATACTAATAACTAGATCCTAGCCTAGGTATAGTAGACGTAAAGATTTATCTAAAGTAATATAAGCAGCATAATAATAACTGTTACCCTATCTAGTAAGTAGAACGCTAGCAGTATAAATAAAACGCTCTTACTACTACCTATACCTATAATCTATACTATAAGGCTATGCCTATTAATAATAGCCTATACTACTAGTGCCTAGTTACTTTAGAACGTTACCTTTAGTATACCTATTATTTACTAAAGCTACCTCTCTAGATTAACCTACTAAAGACGCCCCTGCTACTAAAGCTAGGCCTCTGTTTAGACGCCGTCATACAGCTCTACCTTCTGCTTAACCTCTATCCTTAACCCTGCCTCTACCTTACAGTTATCTTAGCTAAAGTTAAAGAACTAGTACTACTACTAGCTAATCTAGTAAAAGTACTACTACTTTACTACTATCCTACTACTAAACTATATTAGCAGCTGTATGTAGATAAGCCTAGCTACCTATAAGCTATACCTAGCCTAAAGATCCTACTTATTATTATTAATACTGTCTACCTTATTATCTTTATTATATAGCCTACCCTTACTAGGTTATCTAAATACCTTATTTAAGTACTAGTTAGTAATAGTAATAGCAATATACTGCTATATACTAACGTTAAGCTTGCTACCTAGTAGCTAGCTACTATACTACTAAATAATCTACTATAACTAGTCTATTATCTATACCTACTTCTCTCTCTATATCTATACTACTATCTTATCTATATTATTACTACTCTTGTTATCTAGGCTAGTGCTATCTACCTACTGTATCTCTTTATCTTACTACCCTCTTACCTTTTACAGAATCTTATTAGCCTAAAGATATACACTATAGCCTTTAGTCTAAAATACTATCTCTTACACCTTCTGCTAGAATAATAGCACTAGCTAGAGATACTATATAAGTAGCTTACCTACCTTCTATAGTAGATACTAGTAGATTACCTTAGCCTAGCCTATACTATAGAACCTTTTATAGTATGCTGTTATAAAGCATACTAACCTTTTATACATAAATATGTTACAGACCCCTCTATTAACTATGTTACTATGCTAGATCTCTACTAGCTTTATTACTTACCTAGGCTGCCTACTAAGTATATATATTAGTAGCTACATATGCTTACAGAACTACCTAAATACATGCTTATATACCTACATTACCGTTAGCTTAAACACCTCTTACCTAGCGTTACCCTCCTTACTACTATTAACGCCTTACTAGCGTGTTAGTTATAGTAACACCACTATCTAGCTAAACACCTACCTCTCTTCTTTCTATATTTACATGTTATACTTATCCTATAAGAATAAATAGCCTAGCTACTACTTACTATAGTCATTCTTAATTAATGCCTATAGGATTACTAGTAGTACCTACTGTAGCATCTTCCTTCTACCCTTACCCTTACCTATTATTATTAGCTTGCTAAGAATCTCTCTAGCCTTCTATACTAGCCTATGTATTATGTCTAATAGCTAGCCTATACTAAAGTACGCCTACTAAAACAAGATCTTATCCTTAATCTAGTCTACATACCTAGGGATAGGCGTATTATATTAGATTATTAACTTTATTATACGTATCTTTAAAATCTAGTCTATTAGTATAGGCTCTGCCTTAGCTACGCCTAATATCTATATTATAAACCTCTACATCTTGCTACATATATACTAGAAAAGACTGTAGACCTTATCCTTAGCTACCTTTTTACCTATCTCTTTAGCTCTCTTTACTACAGTATCTATCCTCTTAACTACTAACTAGTATATAATAAGCATCTAGCTTACTTTAATAACAGTAGAGTAGATTATTATATAGTTATTTACTTTTACCTATCTACTATTCTTACTAATTCTTATTATAATAAGCATGCTAATTAGTACGTTTTAGTAGTTACCTTACTAAATAAGGTAGTCTAGAATGCTAACTAGTATTTTAAGTATAGCCTACTCTACCTCTATTAGTATATCTTAGGCGTCCCTAGTATTAAGTGCCCTCTCTCTTTATACTACTACCTTAAAGTAATCCTAAAGCTTACCCTACCTTACTATTAGCTAATACAGCAGCTGCTTATTATTAGTTATCTTTTATATATAGTACTAGATATAGAGCGCCTTTTGTTAGATAGCTTTATACTACTTCTATATTTAGTCTTCTAGCTAGTTATTAAACAGCCTGCGCGGCTTAACGTATGCTTTACTTTACTACACCTTAAATAGCACAGTATTTTCTATAGTGTAAGATGTTAACACCTTCTGTACCTAGTCTAAGACCCTCTTAGTTACAGTCTATATAGCCTAAAGTACCTCTTTCTTTTTTATAATAGGCTTAGTTGTTTTCTAAAGCTTAGTTATAGACCGCCCTTCTAAGTACTTTACCTATCTAACATAGTCTAGCTATAAGTTTGTATCTAGTTTATTATTTACACTATAGATAACGTTATCTTCCTAAGTACTAACCTATTTAGCTTATTTCTAGTAGATCTAGCTAATAATGTCTTATGCTAAGGTCTTTATTAGCCTAGTCTAGGTACCTCTGTCTACCTTTACTATCTAGCTAACCTAAAACTAGCGGCAGCTAGCATAAGATAAAAAGAAGTACTAGCATAAGACCCCCTTTATCTATAGTATATTCCTTAGTTCTACAGCCTTTCTCCTTATGTTACCTTCCTTCTTCTAGTTATTTACCTACCTATGCTAGTTACAGTAGTACTACTACATAACTTCCTGCTGCTAGCAGACGTAGCCACATGTTGTACACTTAAGCCTGTTAGGCTT